CAAATTTGATAGAAAAAAATTTTTTTTTTATAGTCAAGGTTAACCTCTTTGGTTTGTCGCTTTTATTAGATTGTAGGGTCATGTGGTGTTTTTTTCAAAGGGGTCACAGACAAGTACATTTTGACAAAGGTACATTCTAGTCATACCTGTGCCTTTTGAGTAGAGTTTTGCAAATGCCTATGCCAGGCATATTGGCACTATGCCAGGAACTAGTGCTTTATGCCATGCCTATAGGCACAAAAATGTCAGGAATTATTATAGGCATAGGTACAAATGCTTGGCATTTTTATAGATATGGGCACAAATGTCAGGCATTTTATAAGCATAGGCACAAATGCTAGGCAAAAAGGTGCCAAAAGAATGCCAAAAAGGTGTCAGACACAAGTGTTAGGCAAGGTACTGGGCACAATTTATTAATAAGTATTAAATTTTTTGTACCCGTATTATGCCCATGTCTAAATTTTTGTGCCTATGCCATGTCTATACCTAAATTTTGTGCCTGTGCTATGTCTATACCCAAATTTTCATATATCTATATCTATACTCATGTCTAAGTTTTAGTGCCCTTGGCAGTACCAAGGCTTTTGTTGAGCACAAGCACAATGCTGAGCTGCAGATCTCTACTTTTGAGCAGCTAATTAAGTAGTTTGCTTATTACTAAGTTTTACATTAGATGTTATACCTATAATCTACTTATTATTTAAATTACCCAATTAAACCCTTTGATCTGAGTTTTCTATATTAACCTATCTAATTTTATCTAAAATATGCGATATATTAGTTAGTCCAAGTTTTAGGATTGTTATGTATTTACCTATAGGACTACTGGCATAGTTAGAGTTTGAAACTAGATTCGACTTTAGGATTTAAATCCAAATTTCTCTGGATTTGGATTAAATCCAGATATAAAACTGAATCTACCAAACCCTACGTATATGATCTAATATTATTATCTATTTTTGAAAAGCAATATTTTTCTCTCGTAATATATTAAATATTTATTAGTTCTTACACTAAATTTATCTAGAAAGCAATATATTGAACTTATTATTGGTCTTATAAGAACTAATGTTTATATATAAAGTAATAAAATTTAACTTATTTTTCAGGCTTTATATTCCCGTAATAGTTTATAATTTAGTTGTTCTTCGAAAGGCTAGAATTCATATAGGAAGCAATAAATTTTAAGCTTTATGCCTTCTTAATGACTCAATTAAAATTTAACTTATATTCAGGCTTTACTTCTGTAATAGTTTATAATATAGTTGTTCTTCGAAAGGCTAAAATTCATATAGGAAGCAATAAATCTTAAGCTTTATGTCCTTATGTAACTCAATTATTTTTATGAGAGCTAAAGCTTATCCATAAGGCAATAAACTTTGTTTTTTATAAGGGCTAAAGCTTGTATGTGAAGCAATAAACTTTGCGCTCTTGTAATAAATAGTTTGTTATAATTTTTTGTGAGAACTAAAGATCATGCTTATCTATACTCAGAAAGCAATTTGATTATTATGACATTGAATAGTTTTCACAAAGATTTATATCAATCATTATTAAATAATTAATAAAGTATAAATAGAAATAGTAAGCAAAAGTACTTGGTAAAAAAAATGGCATCTTTATCTGTTTCTTCTTCTAACCTTAATATTAATGAACTAACTTCTTTCTCGGAAGCTGAAACATCTGATCCTACAAATTCAATTGGTCACAAAAAACATAAAAATAATTTGAGTAAAAGTAGCAGAAGCAATAGAATCAATAAAAGCTATACATCCTACTTTTTTAACAAAGATTCCAAGAATAATGATATAGTATATTGTAAAATATGTGAGCAAAGCCATGCTGGTATCAAAAAAACAAAAACAATTACATTTTCACTCTTTCCGACGATCACTTGGTCAACAACAATTTACCGAACTACAGTCAGCGATATAGGAAAGCAACATAGTGGAT